ATGCATGCCACAACATATGCACAAAGCCACCTAAAGAGGCTCCACTGAACAATGTTTCAACTTCAAAATGGTAGGAGAGAAATACACAAGTACTTCCCATTTTGAATTCTGGTCTTTTCCTGGCGTAGTTAAACCAAATCAGTGCATTATGCTTTATCCTAGATTTATTCCAACAATGATGGCCCTCAGTAAAATTTCGCTTTGAATGGTACATGGTCTGACTGGCAGTGCATCTTGTCATAGGGAAAATAAATGTAAGCTTTCCCAAGTTAACAAATGTAGCAAGAACCTAACACTTTTTACCTTTTTCTTACCACCAAAATAAGACTCTTGAGAGCAGAAATTTCCTACCTGCCTTGCCAAGACCCCCTGAAATTAATGGATTCTCTCACATGGCTGACTTTATTACTTACTATAATTAAAACTAGGCACAGAAAAAGCCAAGTAGCAAAACACAAACTGCTTAGCATAAATTAATAAAAGCAGCTAGCTCTTAAGACTCACAAATACAATGTAATTATAAACTAAAAATTGTATGAAATGAGTTCATTTGTAGGAGCTCCACTTTGGACCTTTTACTTGTCCATGAAGGAAATATCTTCAACTCAATGGTTCTCTGCCTCAAATCTCAAAATTAAAAACAAAATCAGAGCTCATCCCCATAATCCAAGCTACTCAAAAGGCTGAAAATGGCAGGATTATGATTTAAGGTCAGACAGGACAAAATATTTTAAAGATTTCATCCCATACAATGGTAAGCATATCATCCCTGATATTTAAGAAGCACAAATAAGAATCACAGTCCAAGCTGGCCTGAGCAAAAAGTAAGACTATGTTAAAAATAAATAAATAACCAGCAGCTCATGCCTGTAATCCTAGCTACTTGGGAGGCTGAGATCTGAGGACAGCGGTTCAAAGCCAGCCCGGGCAGGAAAGTCCCCATGAGACTCTTATCTCCTATTAACCACCAGAAAACCAGAAGTGGCGCTGTGGCTTAAAGTGGTAGAATGCTAGCCTTGAGCAAAAAGAGCTCAGGGAACAGTGCCTAGGCCCCAAGTTCAAACTCCACTACTTCAAACATGAAAAGTAAAATCACAGTATCGAAATGCTCTCATTGGAGATGGTTGCCATTTCATATTAACATTTTGGCAAATACATCTAACCAGTGAGTATTAATTACTTCTCATATGTAAGTTTTTCTTAAACAAATGCATCCAACGTCCTTTGGCATGCTAACAGTTAATGTGTATTGAATATAGGACAGTTGGTTTTTTTTTTTTTAAACACTGCTTCTCTGAACATAGTGACATGAAAATGATGCCCAGATTTTAGTATACACAAACTAAATTTTTATATAACCAAAAAGCCTGATTGAATATAGGTAATAATTTACAAGTAAAAGGTAAAATAAAGACTTCAATTATTAGGCAATCTTCAACTCTGGTGGCAAAATAAAGACAAAAGTTTCAGATTAAAATAACTGCAAATTTCCAATGGTCATTATTTACTTCTAATTCATAATGAATTTCTCTTCTATTCCACTTTTTAAATGCTCTTGAAAGTTACAGGAAAATCTCCAGTGTATATTCGATATACTTATGAAGCATGGTATTTACTTTATAATTACTATAAAGGTGGTATACAGAGGGGTTATAGTTACATAAATCAGGTTGAGCACATTTTTTTGAACAATGTCACCCCTTTCCTCCCTCTCTTCCAGTTTTTCCCTCCTGATTCCCTCCTCCACAAATATATGTCATTTTTAACAGTAGTGAGTACCACTGCTGCATATATTCACCCTTTGACCCTCAATTTCTGTTCCCCACTTCCTCTTCCAAAGACAGGTTAAACAAGACAAAAAGAAAAGAAAAACAGCAACAAATGGAAGAAAAACTCATTTCCATTTCCTGGAGTTCATTTCAATAAATGTTATTTTATATGATCATATACACATAGGTATTGTGTTCCACTCCTAAGAATATTTACTAGTTCTTAGGAAAATAAGGCAATACTATTTTTAAAAAGTGGTATCTAAAATTTTCAAGTTTGTATAAAAATATACTTTATCTAAATGAAGTTCTGAGGACACAAAAAAAATTACTAAACAAATTCTGTAAACTGTACATCTCATAAATGCTATGTTACCATTTTAAAAATCAGCAATTCAATATTTTAGCTAAGTGTGCAAATGTCAGGTAATATTCATTTCTTATGTCTATAAATCTTTTCAAAGTATTATTTTATAATAAAGAAATTTTAAAGGAAACTGCAGAGAAATAAAATGTGATTATAACAAATATACTGTTTAAAAATATCATTTTATCTATTTCCTAATAAGATGATGGAAGAAAATTATTTTTAAAATTCTTCCCTTTTCCCTTTTAAAGACATTTTTAATGACTAGCAATGAGAATTAGTGCTACAGGCCTAAGGAGAAACCTGTCTGTGCACGGATTTCTAAGTGGATATTAGGATTCTTCCCTAAATGAGGGCTGTCTACTTTTGAGAACTTACAGAGACAATAGACTTTTATTTACAACTGCCAGAAGAAAAATTAGTTACATGTAAGGAATTAAGTCTGACAGAAGCCACATCTCAATTAAAATATTTTAAGGAGTTTATAAGAACATTGCACACACCTAGAAGCATTTCTATGCTGGAAACAAAAAAGCAATCCTCTAAGCATTTTTTTTATTGGCTTAATTATTTGGGAGGAAGGGGCTTTCATTGTTACATTTCTCAGCACTTTTAAAGCTGACCCATTATTCACTTTTGTTGCCCTTGAGATTCTGGTGCTCTTCTAACAGAAAAATCTTTGCAACAAAACAGACTTCCTTCAATCAGTCATAATTTGGAACATTGTGCATTCATGGGAATGGAGTTATGTGGTGGAAGAAAAGGAGAATAATAAAAACTAAGTATCAGAATCCCTATGTGTGACTTCATATTCAGCAAAATAGAATTAAGAGTCAATCTTATTTGAAAACACCAAGGGCATTAGCAGGTATGTGAATATGTCATCTCTTCAAATCTCCAAAGGGCTTCTAACTAAGGCCCTGTTATTTAGTTTGGGATAATTTGCAGAAAGGAATTGATCCTGTATTTTTTTTCTTTTCTGAAGACACTGTCTCTCTGTAATTTTCTTGGTTCCAAACTCCTGGGCTCAGTAATCCTGTTGCCCCATTCTCCCCAGTAGCCGGGATAACAGGTGTGCATGACAGAGATTGACTTCTAGGACTTTTTACTTCTTAAGAGGATGAATGTTCAACTACAAAGTACAGAGGTCCTTAGTTGCTCACTGTGCAAGGCTATGCAATCATCAGCATGCAAAAACTTGAGACAACAACACGAGGATGAGCAGAGCACTAGTTAACCAATGTTACAGTGCTTCTTCCTAAGGAAGGTCTGATCAAAGACCCAGCAGCCTGGGGAAAGAAGTCCTGCCAGCAGCCAACTGTGGCCCCCTAACTAATCAGTTCCAGTCCTGAGTGCAGCACATTTCCTGTATGATGTCAGCAACCAACACTACCAAGTTCAACCTTCCTTCCTACCATATTTAGAGAGTAATTTAAATTTTGCATTTCATATCTACTGCTTCAATCACTTCACTCTGTAAATTGTGAAAGATCTTTGTGAACTGTCAAACAGCAAACACAGAAAACTAGAAACATTGAGGTAATAAACTTCAACCAAAACTAATCTCCGAGTAATTGAAATGCTAAGTCCTTTCTAATAGAAATTTCCTGAGGAGTTCTCTTCTTTATATAACTTTACACTGCCAAGGTGACCAGGTCAAAAGTATAATAGCTTGAAAATTACTGGTGATGTTGAAAATGGACTACACAAGTTGGAAGGGAAAATTAGGAGAGAATAAAGGCATTGTCCAAAAAGAAATGTCCTCATTACCTGTCTTATGAAACAATAATCTCTCTGTATATCACCTTTATAAATAATAAAAAGAAAAAAAATACTGGTGAGCTGAGTGTTGGTGGCTTATACCTATAATCCTACTCAGGAGACTGAGATCAGAAGATTGTGGTTCAAAGCCAGCTTGGGCAGGAAAGTCCATGAGACTCTTATCTCCAATTAACCAGCAAAAAGCCAGAGGTGAAGCTGTGGTTCAAGTGGTAGAATTCCAGCTTTGAGCAAAAAAACTCGGGGACAGTGTCAAATTCTGAGTTCAAGGTCCAAGATCTGCGTACACGTGTGTGCACACATACATACAAACACACTATTGGTGGCACTAAATGAGAATGTTTTAAAATTTTAATGCCATTAAGGAGTTTTTAAAATCAATATAATATAAAGATGGCTAAACTTCATTTTAGACTTATAGTTAACACCAAAGCAACTTGAAGAATGTGAACAAAATAAACTGCAGCAGAGCCTCACAGAGAAAAAATTTAAAACTCAGATTCACTAATAACTCTGTAAGACGACTCTCCTCACCAAACTTGAAAAGGGGATGGATCATGATTAATTCAAAGCCAGTGGGTCCTGTGACGTCCAGGGGCACAGGTACCACCAGATACACACAAGACCCAAATTTAGGAGTCACATTACAAATATTTAATACCTAATTTAATCTTGGTACAGGAAAAATTAAAAAAAAATCTTTTAGTGCCGTCTGGTCCTGGGGCTCGAACTCAGGGCCTGGGCGCTGTTCCTCAGCTGCTTCTACTCAAGGTTAGCACTCTACCATTTGAACCCCAGCACTGCCTTTTTTGAGTAGTTTACTGGAGATGAAGTCCCATGGCCTTTCCAGTCTGGGCTGGCTTCAAGCTGCGATCATCAGATCTCAGCCTCCTGAATAGCTAAGATTGTAGGTATGAGCCACCAGAACCTGGCTCAAATGTATTTTTTAATAGAATCCCTTCTTTGGTTTTATGATACTCTATTAAAAAATTACTTGAGAAAACTAAAATTATTTAAAGAAGAAGCATTCAACAGTAATTTGACACATTTATATGTGGAAAAAATACAAAATTACTTGATATATGTTTAATACACAAATACATATATAAACATTTTATTTTAATAATACTCTTTTTCACTTCAATTTAAATCATTCCATTATGAAAATTTCTTAATTGAAGAGAATATTTCTTTAAAACTCTAAGTTAAACAGAGCTTTATCAATTAAACTTACAGCAATACAGTCTTTAGAAATACATCATTTTTCATACATCCACTTTAAAAATTTGTCATGGTTTATTACATTTTTAAAATACAAGGCACCTAATGCTATTAAAGGATAATACAGTATATGTAGTGTAAGGTACCACATCTTTTCTCAAATATTTATTTTCTTTAAAAATCCAGCAAATCTCCATGAAGACAGTGTTACTCAAGTTAAAACATTTTTTTCTGTGTAGTTATTTTGCAATATTCTACAAAACATAAACTGTAATCCGTACCTAATACAGGCAGCTTATTTGAGTATTTTTTTGCCTGTCAGAAATACTGATCTACACACTTACATGATTTCCTTGAAACATAATATAGTCCAACATTTAACAAGTATGTGAAAATAAAGTCTTTCAAACATTAGGATTTTATTCCTTGATTAGTTTAAATCATTTCATCAACTGAATTCCTTGAGATATGTAAGGCAGGTTGGTCATTTCAATGGACTGTGGACTGGAACTTCCCATAACTGTAGTGATATGTTCATAGCTACATAGCAAAGTACTTCATTATGAAAATGAAGAAAACAGACATGAGGAAAATATATTTTAGAGTTTCAAAGAACTGAAACTGTTATTTTTCAGACTAGGCACTGAAACATTTTTCTATAAAATCTTGCCAGATTGTCTCTTCGCTGTATAATGTTCCATCATCAGGCTAAAAAATAAAAGGCAAAAGAACAGAGTATTCATTATAATTTTTATCATTTTAATTTTCTAGAGCTTATGTTTTTAAACAGCTAATTATGCCAATTTGAACACATATGACACTGTATATTATTAATAACTATATTCTTGAAATTGAGGTGTTAAGAACTCAGGATAGAGGTTCCATAGCAATGTCAAAGGCTGATACCAATACCACTTAAAAATTGTACACCAAGGATCACCTCTTCAACAAATGGTATTGGAGAAGCAATGTCCACAGAAAGAAGACTGAAGTTGGACCCCTATCTCTCACCAACATCAACTCAAAATGGATGAAAAGCCTTAACATAAAACTTGAAACCTTGAAAATATTACAGGAAGAAGCAGGGAAAACATTACAACTTAATGGCATGGGAAGTTCATACCCATATAGAATTTAAGAAGCTCCGAAAATAGGATAAAGAATTGATATATAGGATCATATTATGCTAAAAAGCTTCTGCACAAGAAGGGACACTGTCACAAAGCTAAAGGACAGTCAACAGAATAGGAAAAGATCTTTGTCAGTTATACAGCTGACAAGGAACTAAAATCAGAATATACAAGGAGTATAAAAAAAACTAACCCCCCCCCCAAACAATCAATATATAATCAGTGAAAGAGAGAGAGAGAGACAGAGAGAGACAGAGACAGAGAAGACTGGATATGCTAAAACATTATAACCAGAGGAAAAAAATTTCTACAGTATATCATTAAGTAAAATGATGAGCTGTAGCATGAACAAAAATAATACTTTCAGAGTCAGGCACTACAGTACATATTTTGAAATGTTTAATACTTCTAATAAATTATGAGTTTAGTTCTATGGCAATGACATTTCACAAGTAAGAAAACTGAGAAATAAATAGGTTAAGAATCAAGGCTCTCCCAGCCAGCACAGATGAAACCAGAGAATTGTAACCCAGGGAGGTCTGACTCCAGAGGCTACATGGCCTTTTGGCTATACAGCTCTTGAACAACCACTTATGGATAATCAATTCAGTGTTTGAATTTTACAAGAATAAGAATGTTATACAACACTGATGCAGGCTCACATACAAACCTGGACTATGGACAACAGCTAACTGGCTCCATCCTCCTGTGAAACTCCATGCATAGGAATGAGACTCTCACACTGTTCACTGTCTTCTGGAACTCTTGAGGGGGAAAAAAAGTAACAGTTTAAAAAAAGCTTTAGGGCTGGGAAGGTGGCTCAGCTTGTCTTGCATGCATGAGGCCCTAGGTTCTATTCCTCAGCACCACATAAGCAGAAAAAGCCAGAAGTGGCGCTGTGCCTCAAATGGTAGAGCTCTCTAGCCTGGAGCTTAAAAGCTGAGGGACAGGGTCCAGGCCCAGAGTTCAGGACCCACGATCATAAAAAAAAAAGAAAGAAACAAAAAAAATCAAGCTATAGAATAATTTCAAGTACACAATAATTAAATCAATGATGGATTTTAAAAAGTGGAACAAAAAAACAAAGGCACAATTCATCAATAAAGAAGAGAAAAATATATCATTTGTAGGAAAATGGTTGTTATGGGATTCATCAAGAAGCCACAATCAGAAAGACAAATACCACGTTTTTGCTCATAATCTGGATATAATAATAATAATAATATAATATGCCATGATTGCAAAAAGAGGACTGCTTGGGAGAAGAACCAGCAGGAGGATAGGAGAGGCTGATAGAAGGTAACTATGATAGAAGTATATACACACACATAAATAGCTAAATGAAATCCACTAAAAACTGATGAAAAGAAGAATAATATAGATGTGGTGACTTAGAGCAAAGTACATTATATTCATGTATGTAGATGTCATAATGAAAACATTTTATACAATTAACATACCCTAGAAAAAGACACTTAAAAGAGAAAATCTGATGCAACACTAGGATATTTATTATTAAATGTATTCAAACCAGTGAAGGCTTTTATATTGAAATTCATTATAGAAAACAGTAAGCCTTTTCTTTTACCTGTGAATCATGACCCTTTTTTCTAATATTAGCAATGAAAAGAGTATCACTCAACGAATCTAAACATATTGTTTTTCTCTGTACCAACACAAATAAATCATAATTGGTTCTATAAATCCTCACAGAAATCCCTAAAAGCATATGATTCTCTGTTTACTTGACAAACATCATTAAAAAAAAACAAAACTATATGGAACTAAGCTTACCTCTGAATTCGATGTTTCCTGCATATAAAGGCAAAAACTCTTCTGATTCCTACCATCACAGGGTCCCAATTATTATAATGACATAGGAGAGTTACAATAAAAAATGAAAAAAATACAGGGATAGCTCCTGCAAAAAATAACCAAGAAAACTGCACCTAAAAACAAAAAAATAAAAATTCTCAAGACAATCATTAAAGCAATTTTCCCCTTTAAGTTTTATAACTATCAAAACTAGCAGGAATATGTTAAAACACCAAGATGTTAACACTTAACACTGACATTATTATGCGTATTATTTTTTTTGTGGGGGGGGGGTCCAGTTGTGGGGCCTGAACTCTGGGCCTGGGCACTGTCCCTCAGCTCTTCAACTCAAGGCTAGCACTCTACCACTTGAGCCACAGCGCCACTTCCGGCTTTTTTCTTTTTGCTTATGTGGTGCTGAGGAATTGAACCCAGGGCCTCAGGCATGCAAGGCAAGCGCTCTACCACTGAGCCACCTTCCCAGCTCAATGTGTATTATTATTAAACACAAGGAGGTACAATTTTATCTTAAAATTCCATTCGCCTAAATATCAACAACAATACTTTTTGCTTGGAAAATGTGCTAAAGAGAAGTCAAAAAGGCATATTTAGCATTTATTAGGTCTAGCACATTAAAAGTAGTGATATCTACAATGAAGTCTTGTTGTGCACACTGCATTGCCAAAAATTTCCTCCTTTGTGGTTATTAACTATTCTCAAGTGGATTTCTTTTTTTTTTTTTTTTTTTTTGGGGTCCGGTCGTGAGGCCTGAACTCTGGGCCTGGGTGCTGTCCCTCAGCTCTTCAGCTCAAGGCTAGAGCTCTACCACTTGAGCTACAGCACCACCTCCGGCTTTTTTCTTTTTGCTTATGTGGTGCTGAGGAATCGAACCCAGGGCCTCGAGCATGCAAGGCAAGCTCTCTACCGCTGAGCCACCTTCCCAGCCCTCAAGTGGATTTCTTGATTCTGGTACATTCATCTATCAAAACTTTTAAATGTTCCAGGTACTGGTGGTTCATATCTGTAATTCTAAATACTCAGGAGCCTGAGATCTAAGGATCGTGGTTCAAAGCCAGCTCAAGCAGGAAAGTCTCTGAGACTCTTATCTCCACCAAAAAGTCAGAAGTGGAGCTGTGGTTCAAGTGATAGAGCACTAACCTTGAACAAAAAAGTTCAGAGACAGTGCCCATGCCCTGAGGAGACCAAGCACACATACATAAAAAAAGGATGAGCTGGGTGTCAGTGGCTCATGCCTGTAATCCTAGCTACTCAGAAGGCTCAGATCTGAGGATTGCGGTTCAAAGCCAGCCCAGGCCAGAAAGTCCGTGAGATTATCTCCAATAAACTACTCAAAAAAAAAGCTGGGAAAAAATGTACATATCACCCAATGTGGAAGAAATAACTGTATTGCAAAGCTCATAGAACTCATAAATGTTATAGACCGTGGTAGGCAATTTGCCCATGAAAGTTAGAATGTGTTTGTGACTTTAACTAAACATCACTATCCCACAATACTGTGAAATTTGGGAAATTATGTAATCACTTAATCACAATAAAGAATTTGAAAAAAAGTATATTAGCTTATGTGAGTTATATGGAGGGGGATTTCATTGTTATATTTTAAAATTCTAAATAAGTAAAAATAAATTTAAAAAAAAAGCTGAAAGTGGCGCTGTGGCTCAAGTGATAGAGCTCTAGTCTTGAGCAAAAGAAGCTCAGGGACAAGTGCCCAGTATCCATAGTGCAAGCCCTAGAACAGGCAGAGGAAAAAAAAAAAAAAGGATGAAATAGCATAGTATAGTATACATCTATCTTTTAAGGGAAAGAAAAAGTTTTTTCCCTCTTTGAGAGTTAAAAAGAGAGGCAAAAAAATCTTAAGAGTCGTGGGCAAGACTGGAAACATATTATCCTATTAGTGACTGTTTTAGTCAGGAGAATGGGACTGCTGATTGTCAGTGACTCACACCTGTGAGCCTACCTATTAAGAAAGCTGAGATCTGAGGATCGAGATTCAAAGCTAGCCCGGGCAGGAAAATCTGTGGGACTCTTATCTTCAATTAACCACCAAAAGGCTGGACATGGAGCTGTGGCTCAAATGGTAAAGCAAAAAAGCTCTATCTTTGTGCAAAAAAGCGCAATGCATCCAACAAAACCCTGAGTTCAAGCTCAAAACTAACACCAAACAAAAAGGAAAAGAAAAAAGATAAAATAAGGTATCAAGTTAATGACAAATCATAATTTTTTTCCTCTTGAAATGCTTACCAGTCAGTATATTTAATTTAATAGTCGAGACACAGCAGCACATATTTTTTCCAGTACCAGGTTTAACTTTAGGGGCTCTGAACTTGCTCTGTTTGCTCAGCTAGAGCTCTATCACTTTGAGCCCTTTCTCCAACCTAGCTTTTTGTTGGTTAAGTAGAGACGAAGTCTTGTGGACTTTTCTGCACAGGTTGGCTTTGATCCAAAATCTCAAGACTACGCCTCCTGAGAAGCTAGGATTACAAGCATGAGCCACAAGTGCTTGGCCAAGAATTGTTTTTAAATAAGTAGGATGCACCCTATGGAGTGTATTTTGCCTTTATCCTTAAAACTGAACAAAGACCTAAAACTGCTTTAAAAAGTAAGACTATTAGTTGTATCTATTATAAACCTTTGAGTTTTCAAGTATTTTCCTCTTCCAATTTTCAGACCATATACACATATATACTTTACTGCCTAATTCTAACAAGTATAAAGCTTACAAATACTGACTGCATGGCAAGTGCTCTACTCCATCTTCAGCATTAGGCAAAGGAACCACTCTTTACTGCCTCTAGGATGAAGAAACTGCTCTCTTCTGGACTGCTTCAGGAGAACTTCAGATTCTCTTTTTTGCAGTGTTTTCAGTGACAGCATTTATCACTAGATTTACAGATAATTAGGCCAATACAGTAGTATTAGCATAATGATAAGGAATGTCTGAACTTATCAGAGATGTGAAAATATTACCATTTTGTGGCAAAATATATCACATGTTCCACACAATGACCCACATCAGACATATGGAAAACAAGCAAACACTATCAAGAACAACATAGAAGATACTTCCCTTAACCTACAAGTGCAGATTATGTACCTTTTTAGTACTTTTTACATTTCTGTACTCTAGAGATCTGGAAATGAGGCATTAAGGATTATTTATTTGTAAATTATTTGTATAATCTTCATTATGTCTGTTTTAAAGCTATACCTGAAGTATCTAACAAATAGTTTGCCTTACCTTTTGCATACACATGTCTGCTATTATAGACAGAGGTATTGTGAGGCTTAGTGCAAGTGTGCCTATCAATGAGGAGGTAAGAAAGCAGCCCCTAAAAAGAGAGAGAAAGGAGAAAGGAGGCATAATTTTCTATATTATTCAATACTGAGTTCCAATTCTATATTAAAGACTCAAGAAAACCAAATATAAAAAAAAGATGGGCCAAGACACAAAAACAATAGTTAAGATGATTCCAAAGTTTAGCTTCAAATGTCAAAATACAAGTATATAAGTATAAAAAAGTTTGAAGTAAGGTGGTGGCTCACACCTGTAATTCTAGCTATTCAGAGGCTGAGATGTGAGGATCACAGTTCAAAGCCAGCCAGGCAGGAAAGTCCATGAGACTCTTATCTCTAATTAACCACTCAGAAAACAGGAAGTGGTGCAGTGGCTCAAGTTGTAAAGTGCTAGCCTTGAACCGAAGAGCTCTGGGACAGCGCCCAGGCCCAGAGTTCAAGTCCCATGACCAAAAAAAAAATTAAAAGTTGAGCAGAAGTATTAAGGTTTCAAAGTGCTACTTGGCTAACAAAGAAAAAGTATCAATAAAACTGTAGATTAATATCTTACACACAAACTTTAAGTGATAAGTTAACATAATGTTACAGCACTTCATCATCATGAAAATAGTACATTTTTTGTTTTCATTTAGCTTAGCATAGTAAAGACAGAACTAAATATTTTGAAGAATATTTCCTTATTTATTTCCATTTTTTAGTATCTATCCTAACCAAGTTTAAGCACTTCATTTTATTTGTTTGTTTATGTCAATCGTAGGGCTTGAACTCGAGGCCTGGGTGCTGTCCCTGAGCTCTTTTTTGCTCAAGCCTAGCGCTCTACCACTTCGACAGTGTTACTTGAGTTTTCTGGTGGTTAATTAGAGATAACAGACTTTCCTGCCCAGGCTGGCTTTGAACCATGATATTCAGATCTCAGCCTTCTGAGTTGCTAGGATTACAGGTGTGAGCCACTAGTGCCCTACTCATTTTATGTTTAACACTATCAGTGTTGCTATAACTTTGTATATGACTCCAAAGGTAATATTTTTTTAGTTGAAGGAAAACATTATAGTAAAGAGCTGGGAAGGTGGCTCAGTAGTAGAGTGCTTGCCTTGCATGCATGAGGCCCTGGGTTTGATTCCTCAGCACCACGTAAGCAGAAAAATCCAGAAGTGGCACTGTGGCTCAAGTGGTAGAGAACTAGCCTTGAGCTGAAGAGCTGAGGGACAGTGCCCAGGCCTAGAGTGTAGGCCCCACGACTGATAAAAATAAAATAAAATAAAAATAAAGAATTATAGAAAAATACAGAAAGCCCTTTATAAAGATTAATATATTAAAAGATGTTCACAAATTTAGAATACTGAAATTCAGACATACATGTATGTGTGTTCATTCATTTATTCAACAGACATTTTTGAGCTCCCTCTACCTGAGACATACTCTCAGTTCTTTTGCTTAGTTTGGTCTTCAGATAGGGTCTTGTGATTTCTACCTTTACACTGGGTACTCAGGAGTTAAAAAACAAAGTGCTTACTTGAGGTAGTTAATATATTTGTTATGTGTGTGTACATGTGGAAGTGAGAGGTACAGGATGGGACATCAAAAGACATGAGAAAGAGAAATACAAACTATCCAAATATCAATAATCAATAAATCATAAGAGAATAAATATACATACCACAACCACAGGAACTCTGAGAGAACTGTTCCAATAAGGCCATTAATGATAATGCACATTAATACTACTTTATTGGGAAACTCAAAGTCCTCAAATCCAGTATAATGAAGTAAAAAGAAACCTGGCCATAACAGCAGCAGATTAAACAGGCCCACAAAACCTAATAATGTACAAGACATCAAAGTTAAAATTGTGGCTTATTTCAAATCTTTCTCAGTTCTAACTCTATTAACTAGAAACATTACATTTCGTACAAAGTTACCAGGTTTCCTTCACTGGAACTTCCACTGCTTGAAGTTAGTCTTACCAACAGTTCAACAATAGAAAAACAGCATCAAAAATGGAATCTTTGACTTTTAGGTTCCATTATCCACACTGTATGGGGGCAAACTACTATGGAATAAATCGTTTAAAACAAAGTCAGTAATTTAAAGAATTAACTGGTAGGTATGTAATTATGGATTCAGCCTAAATTACTTAGGAGGAATTAGATGGTTTGTTCTCTGATCCCAGAGAAAGAGGCTGTGCTATACTAGGAATAGGAATACTGTAGGAAAGTTCTAAAGATCAAATTCTTCAGAGTGCCTAAGGCAGTTGGAGAGAGAACATATACACAAACATCTATTCAACATAGGCACTAAGTACAGACTGATAACTTGTAAGAGACTATACTGTGCTCTGCAGTCTGCCTTGGGTTCCAACCCCAGGGCTGCTTTACAGGTACTGTGAACATTATGTAAAATACAGAACCTCTCCATTCTATAAATATAAAATATTACCTAATTAGGTTACAGGTAAGATTAAACTAAGTATTTATAAAAACAGTGACTAAAACATACAAGGTACTTAGTAAAGTTGGCTATAATTCTTTTTTTTTTTCTATTTACTTTTTTTTTTTAATTTAATTTTATTTGTGAACATACTGTACAGAGGAGTTACAGTTACATGGGCATTGGCTATAATTCTTATAGATAATAAGTTACATATGGTTATAAACAGGTAAGGTAAAGATATAACAAAAAAGATAATATTATAGTATAATTTTACTGCATTTCTATATAATTAAATGTCACAGATCTGCTAGAAGATCCATGTAAGTAACTATAGAGCTCTTCTTTAAAAAATTTTGAATATATATATATATATATTCTACTTCACCTAAATACATCATCTAAACAGTAAGCCAGTATTTAGGGTGCCTCATTAGGTCTTAAGAGGGAAACCAAAATAGCGGTTCACGGTAAAACATGGAAAAGATACTCCAAATGGAATGTTCTATGACCCTAAAAGATAGCATTAGAATTGTCTTTTTTCAAATATTTATTCTTGAATACTGTATTTAAAGGGAGCTTAAATGATTGCTTTTCAAATATCTTATTTTTGTTAATCCACTAGGTTTAAGTATTTACACTGACTTTAAATGATTTAAATGTAATATAAAAAGCCCACCAAAGAACATTCTGGTGGAAACAATAAAGGATTCTAAAACCTCCTGCAACTCTACCTCCTCTAGCCTTCCTGTGACTCTCCACAATCCCTAAGTCAGACTTTGGAAGCCACTCAGCTCAGTTAATGTCTCATTTACCAGATGAGTACTTGATAAAAGATGCCAGAACAGAGATTTCAGGTCTGGTGAGGCTCTGTCAGCTGCTCTCTGCACTCCCTTCACAGCCTTTTTTATTTATGTTCGGACAGATGTTGAATACCTTGTCAATAAGCCAGTTGTTTGCTATTCTACATCTATTCCAAGTTCCTAAGTTGATTTTAGGCAAAAAAAAAAAAATTTGAAAAATCAAATCATATGTTTTATTTGTTTAGTCCTAAGAATTGATGCCAGAAAAACGTATTTGGGTAATTTGAAAATCTATGTTATAAAAGAATGAGACTTAAATGATAATGTACCAATGGAAAGCCTGTACATGGCCCACAAATTTTAGTGAAAATAAATATGTATCATGTTGCGGGGTGGGGTGGGGGGGGCAGTTTTCTCAATCCCATGCTTCCAATGATTCAGCAGAAGCAAAATGTGTAACACAGCAAACTCTCATGCTTGGAGTAGCATAATTCTAACAATTACAGAATCTCTCTGGCTCACCAGATGAAGACATTGATTAAGACATTGATCTTGTCTTAAGGCAATATGTGCGCACGCATGCATGCACACACACACTCACACACTAATACAGGACAACATAAGACAAAAGCATTGAGAATGAACTTTATAACCTTCAAAAGAAGTTTCTGTTGTTGAGAAAATCATACACATGGAGGAAAAGCTTTCCTAATGCCTCCAAACCACAAAAACAAAACTATGACTTGAAAGGAAACAGCCTCACAAGTTAAAACATATTCTTACCAAAAAACATTGGAATATCCAATTTATCTTCTCTGTCTACTTTTCTCTTAATCATAACAATATAAACAGCATACAACATGGCTCCAGCCAGGGACCAAATGGAACCTAATGATATAATGATATAAAGTATCCATTTATTAAATAATTTGAAATGTACTTACTGAAAATCTAATCATGTATGAGATACTAATTCCAAATACAAGTACATGAAGATGAAAAGATGAGGAATAACCCATCCCATCTGGGCCCTCCAGTAATATAGAGAGGAAGATAACATGTAAACAAACAAATAATAAGCATTTATTAAATAACAAAACACCTATATATGTTGTAACAATAAAACACAGATAAGTAATGCTTTGATTTTAATTTTAAAATGCTTATTTCTTATTTTTCTCCCCACAAACAATTCTGACACAGGACATTGACCAATTTAACAAAAACTGCTTTGCATCTCTAAGCTGGTGATTAAATAAAAACTGCTTTCTATCTCTAAGCTTGTTTTCCCATCCCCATGTATCATTTTGGATCCACATTCCACCACCACTGACACTCCAAGGCTGTGTAGGTCCTGTGTCTCCCATTAAGTAACTACCTTCTTTCTTTTCTGCTGAGTGTTCAACCTCCTGTCTTCTGTTTTAGATGATTTGCACTAACTACAGTTAAATATATTATTACTTCATTCTCTAGTGGCTTTATTTTGGCAAGTATCATATTCTGTTTCAATTATAATTTATACTTACAAATGTTCCAAAATGTATAACCTAATGTTAATACCAGTTCTCTCCATTATCTCACTTTTAACATTTAGGTTAGCTTTCAAAAACAACTAAGAAATGTTATTCTGCCAAGTGACTGTACTCATCAATTATTCAAGAGGGAATGTTTCACTATACCTATTTTTAAGTATTTTCAAAAAAAACTTAAAGGAAAAGCCTGTCAACACAATTTTACTCACATAAAACAAATACACATATTGTTTTATAAATACAAAACTGCTCTATGAATTAGTTACTGACCTATTGTATTTCTTCCAGCAGATTTTTCAGATCCTGACAGGTTTACCAGCACAATACCACCAATGCTACAAGAATAAGTCATTACTGATGAGCAAAACACTAAACTCCTAAAAGACTAATCATAAAAATTACAAGTGACCAAGAAGTAATCTCAACTTTGGGTAAAACTGAAAATCAATTTATGATTCTATTAACAACAGCTAATGAAATTATAAACATACTATAGTAATAAATTTGTCCTAGCTAGTGCATTTAGTTCTCATAAGATGAGCAGCCCTGGGCTGGGAATGTGGCTAAAGTGGTAGAGTGTTTAACCTAGTATGCATGAGGCCCTGGGTTTGATTCCTCAGTACCACATAAACAGAAAAAGCCAGAAGTGGCACTGTGGCTCAAATGGTAGAGTGCTAGCCTTGAGCAAAAGAAGCTCAGGGACATTGCCTAGGTCCTGAGTTCAAGTACAGCATTCCCCTATAAGGAAGGTATTACTATTGGTATTTCTACTTTATAAGAGAAAACTAATGTGCAATAAGGTGAAATAACTCAACCAGCTGGGACTGGAACATAAGCAACCTAGCTGCACAGTCCAACCCTTCTAAGTGCTATACTGTCTTTCAATTACGGCAAAGCTATTTTCAATTGTCATTCCTTTGTCAATATTTATTTTGGAAGTATAAATAGATTATCCCCACATAAACCTGGAAATGACACTGTTACTGTTTATTGATTAAAAAAAACCTAAATCAACATTAGAAGTATCCTGAAATATTTATGGAGATCCACTAATCCCATGATTTTAGTAAATTAAAAATAAGGCTGGATTAAGAATATCAAGAAGTCAAAGACCATTTGTTCATTCAACTGTTACTTATTGAGCATCTAGTATAAGTCAAGTACTACTACAGCAGTAAAGAAGATGGATGTGGAGCTTGTCTTCAAAGAATTCATTTTTATGCATTTTATGCATCTTATAAATTATGTATATATTTTGTCAATCAAATGAAATACTGCTCATTTTAAATATTTTTAAAATTTTAGTCTAATTCTTTCACCTACTAATCAAAAGACCAGGATGGCAATAGGAGAGGAGTAGAGAAGTGTGTGTGTGTGTGTGCGTGTGTGTGTGTGTGTGTGTGTGTGTGTGTGTGTGTGTACACATATATTCCCTTTTGGAATTACAAGGGTATGATGATAGTGCTATTAATTATTATCCTCAACTTCACATACAAAATAGGCAGAGTTAAAAAAAAAAAAACTTGCCCATGCTCTCAAACTACAAATAGAAGGGGGAATGGAATTGACTTATAGGTGACGAAATGAGATTTAGCTCATCAGATTTCCTTTGCCTGGCTATTATGTCACATACTTTGACAACCTCAGAAATTCAATCTCATTGTTTAAAGCCAGTTCAAAACATGTATTAAACAATAATTAATATTCTTTTTTTTGTTTTTTGGTCAGTCGTGGGGCCTGAACTCTGGGCATGGGCGCTGTCCCTCAGCTCTTCAGCTCAAGGCTAGTGTTCTACCACTTGAGCCATAATACCACTTCGGCTTTTTCTGCTTATGTGGTGCTAAGGACTCAAATCCAGGGCCTCATGCATGCAAGGTAAGCACTCTACCACTGAGCCACCTTCCCAGCCCTTAATATAGTATTCTTAAGAACATATACCAAAAATGTTAATCCATCATTTATTCTACACAACAGAACAGGAAATTTAAGTATTTTAGACCAGTGGGCCACATGGTCTCTGTAGCAATTCAACTCTGTTACTATGGCCATAAGGAAAATGGAAACAAATGGCTGTCTTCCAATAAAATTTCATTTACAGAAAGTTGCAGAAGGTCCACCTTAGTTTTCCCAGTGCCTGTTCTAGAACTTCTCTAATGAGGAATAAAATGCTGTAAGTTCAACATTTTTTTGTCGGTCATGGGGCCTTAACTCTGGGCCTGAGCACTGTCCCTCAGCTCTTCAGCTCAAGGCTAGCACTCTACCACTTGAGCCATACCACCACTTCTGGCTTTTTCTGCTTATGTGGTGCTGAGGAATTGAACCCAGGGCCTCATGCATGCAAGGCAAGCACTCTACCACTGGGCCACCTTCCCAGCCCAAGTTCAACATTTTATATCCATTCTTTTATCAAATCTTTATTAAACAGCGCTAAAGAAAATTAGCATATATTTTGAAAAAAGTTGAACTAAGCCTTGCTTGTTCCTCTAAAACAAACACATTTTATTTTTGTGCACGGTTAAGACATTAGCCAAATGTGGAAAAGAATAAATTTTGGTGGTTATAAAAAGTCTAAAGAGTAGGTTAATTGGTCCACCAGAGGACTAAAACTACTAAAGCTACTTGGGTCAACCTTCCCTTAAATATAGAAGAGAAAAAAAGATCTCTGATGGCCAAGTACAAATCTCTATGATAATCACTTTATATATATTGTACCAAACCTTGAAACAAGACTACTAACCAGATGATATTGCCTGCTTAGAATTGCTAAGGGCAAAGAACAGGGCTCTCATTCAGTCCCAGTTGACAAGTTAAATAAAATAAATTTTTGTTTTTCTTAGCTTACTCACCATTAAATAAGCTTACTACCTTTATTAATTTCAGCTTTTTTTTCCTCTCAAAAAATAACGATTTTGTCAAACCAATGTTTATGAATACCATCTACAGGCAAAACCTTATCAATTAGAAAAGACTGAACATAAGACTTCCACTGATGTAACTGTAACCTCTCTGTACAGCATCTTTACAGTAAAATAAAATTTAAAAAAAAAGACTTCCACAAGGAAAAGGACAATTCCAAACTTAAACAAAAAGGGGAACTTGTCTTGGAAAAGGAAGCAGATCTTTGGGAAGTTACGGTGATTAAGTAGGCACGTTAAGTTAAATGTGATTATCAGTGCACACTTAGGAAGCCTACAATCACAGGAATGGGAACAGTGCTACACTGGGTCCTTCTCTCCAGTTCCCCTGCCCGGAAAAGTTTAGTAGCTTCTTCTTTTGTCTTTTCCCTTACTTTTCCCTTTCTTTCCTTCCTTTCTTCCTTCCTTCTTTTCCTTCCTTTCCTTTCTCCTCTCCCCTTTATTTGGAAGGAGCTTATTACATTACAAAATAAACTATCCTGCATCAGGACCAAAATTATTTTCAGTATCATATTTTAAACAGAGTATCTAGTTTATGCTTACCTTAAAATCACAGCTAAGAGTTTAGAGAGAGTAAACCTATCTCCACTGTTACTTGGAAAAACTGCAGCAAGGATTAATGTAAAAAGACCTATGAAGAAAAAAGGAAATAAAGCTTAAATACTGCCCACACAACTTAACTCCCAACTCTACTGTGAATACTAATTACATACTTAACTTTTAATTAATATTTTAGTTACTTTCAAACAACTAAGACTATAGTTATATAGGCTAAAATGTTCAAAGAGCATACTTAAAGAGCCTCTAAACTAAACCACATTTATTTCAACAATAGAGAACAAATGTAGTCCTATTTATTTTTAAACTAATAAACTAAGCATTCAAAGTAATACCATGATCTCATCATAATCAAGCCTGTATGCTATCATTATTTTTACAGCTTCAAAAACACTTCCTTTAATCTTCCAGATTTGGATGGTGATTCAATTTTAAAAATAAGAAACACCTATCACAGGGCAAATTATAGATCTGAAATAAGCAATTAAATTTAGCCAAAAGGTCTAGGAAAAGATCTTTGAAGAGAATAATGTGCAGTTAAGGACACATGTCAAAACAGAATGCTTGCATAGCAAGTATAAATTGCGTTCAATTTCTATTAATGGAAAGATAAAGAGGGGGGGAGGGAGAATCATGGTCCTAAGCCAACCCATGTAAATAGTGAAGACTATCTCAAAAACAAACCAAGCATGGTAGTTCAAACACCCATAATCCCAATTATTCAGGAGGTAGAGGTGAAAAGACCACTGTCTGAGAAAAGCTCCAGAAAAAGCATGAGAATCTGAAAAATAAACAACAACAACAACAAAAAGCAAAAGAATGTGGATGTAAGTGAAGCCCCGAGTTTTATCATCAGGGCTAATCTAATCCACAAAAAAAATAAAAAATAAAATATTTCCAAGATAGCCGTAGTAACACATGCCTGTAATCTCAGCACTAGAGAAGTGGAAGCAGGAAGCTCATAAATTCAAGACCAGCCTGGTATATAGAGACTTTATCTCAAAACAATAAAAAGATGTACAGAGTAAAACAACTACAATATAAAAGGAAACCACTGCAAAACACTTGCACATAAATAGCACAAAGTTAAGGCTGGAAATTACATTAAGAAGCAGATATAATATACAAATTACATTAATTACCGTGATGACATGACAAAATAGTGGATACATGTATGCACACGTATATATACATACACATATACACGTGCACGTGTGCGTACACATATACAAGAAATACATCAATTTACAACTCAGATTTCTTTTGAAGTCAAATTTCTTACCAGAAGTTGAAGACAAAATATTAACTATAGCAACTTGTGTGTCTGAAAGTGCTTCTTGATATGACAGATTTGCCAAAAACCACTGAAGAAAAACAAAAGGAAGCCTAATGAAAGACATGTTCATTATCTGTTATTGCAATTTATAGTTCCCTCTTTTATCTTCCTTCTCTTAAATAGCACTATCACAAGAGACCTTAAAAGTTGCTTTATATTAAAATATCACCTTCCCCATAGAGGAAAATATTTATAAGTAGACCTAAGATCTTGCTATCCAATTTCCCTTAAGAAACAAGCATGTTAACTGGGCACCATCTGTACTCAGGAGGGTGAAATCTAAGGAATGTTATTTGAAGCCATCTCAGACAGGAAAAATCCTTGAGACTCTTATCTCCAATTAACCTCAAAAAGCTGGAAATGGAGCTGTGGCTCAAGTAGTAAAGCATTAGCCTTAAACACAAAACCTCAAGGACAGTGCCCAGGCCTAGATGTCAAGCCCCAGGACTGGCCAAAAAGAAAAAAACAAACAAGGCTGGATGTGGTGGTGCACACCTGTGATCTCAGTACTCCAGATGCTTCAGCCAGAAGGTCACAAGTTTCCCTGAGCTACATAATGAGTTCCAAGCCATTCTGGGCTTGGAAATAAGTCCCTGCCTCAAGAAAATAAAGAAACCTGGGCTGGGAATGTGGCTCAGTCGTAGAGCACTTGCCTTGCATGCATGAGGCCCTGGGTTCGATTCCTTAGCACCACATAACCAAAAAGAAAAAAAAGCCGGAAGTAGCGCTGTGGCTCAAGTGGTAGAGTGCTAGCTTTGAGCTGAAGAGCTAAGGGACAGTGCCCAGGCCCAGAGTTCAGGCCCCACGACCAAACCACCCCCCGCCCCCAAAAAAAAGAAAATAAAGAAACAATACTAATAAGGGCTGGGAGTATAGCCCAAGGGTAGAGCACCTGTGTAGCAAGCATAAGAGCATAGATTTGATCTCCAGCATCATCAACAACAGTAAAGAAAGAAGAAAAGAAGGGAGAGAGGGAGGGAGGAAAGAAGAAAAAAAAGGAGAGGGAGAGAGAGAAAGATAAGAGGGAGGGAGGTTAAAATTAGCATTTTAAAGTGAGAGTAGAATTGAATATTAAATCAACTTTTAAATTGTTTTGTATAATCACTGCTAGGAATCTATTAATCTTATCTAAGTCAAATTTAAATTCAGTTAAATTCTTTAACATTAAAATATATACAGATAAATAACATAATAAGAACTCAACTAGATGATGTTCATGAAGATTGATGGAATAAGCTAAACAACTACAGTGCCACATAAAAAACTATATAGATGTCAGGTGGTGGTAAACACCTATAATCCTAGAACTCAGGAGACAAATCAGAGATTGAAAATTGAAGCCAGCCTAGCAGTCTGGATGGGAAACTCTGCCTCAAAATAACCAAATACCCCAGTAAAAATAGTCATATATTCACTTTGGAAATTTAGGTACTTACTTTGAAAGCTGAATGTATTGACTAATTGTGACTATTTTTCTGGCACCCCATCTGGCCATACAACCTAAACAGATCTCATAACTTTGGATATGGTGAAAGGTAGTTTTCTAACTATAAGGACTTTTTTTCTTCTGCTGATCCACACTAGAACATTCCCATATTCTCAATTGTGTGCCTATTTTGAATTGGGAGAATGAGAACTCGCTCCCTTTGATAAAGTGTGGTATGGATGTATGTTCCCAAAATTCGTTTACTTTTACTGATAAGTCATCCATTTCTGTAAACACTTTTTAAAAAACTATTTCAAACAATGTTACTATAAATATTCTAATTCATGCTATCTGATCATATAAATACATGAACATCACTAAATTATATTCTAAGAAGTCCATTGCTGGATCAACTAAAATAACTGCTAATCTAACTATAAACTTATCTCTGATACTTATTCAGTTTGCCTGAAGAAGTTATTCCTCTGAAGAAAGACTTGTTTCTATTAAGAGACTCTCTTGATCTATCTCAGAACTTAGTTAAATTGGTCGGATTATCAGTATTTTCTTCCCCAAAACAAAACAAACACCTACATTGATGTAGGTGTGCTTTGATACATCATTAAAAGGCAGCAGATGGTTAAGAATAGAACAGTCTTCATTTGATATCAGGGGTAAAGCCAGAGTAAAAATTTTAGCAAATTGATTCCAAGCTAGAGAACTCTGACATCCTATATCATTTCATTTGCCTATTTAGATAAGAAAATGAGGTCGAATTTGGTGTGATAGTCTCAAAAATACATGACAAAAAAGCTACAATCTGCTTATAGCTGAGGAACTACTATACTGACTCCATTCCCTTTAGATATACAAGAGGTATTTTTGAAAAAGTCAGTATTGACAAAATCGTATTTTACAAAAAAATTAATAAAAAACCATCCTAACCCTAAAAAGACAAAAGATACTCAAAGAGTGGCAAATAAACACTAACTTCTTTTGATATACATCATCTACTTCATTAAACAACACATACATATGACTATATCTGACCACTGAGTAACTAAAATATAGCTTGCTTGAAGTGATATGTGACCTTAGAAGTCTTTACTATAAAAATGTAATCTATCTCATCAATACTTTTACATTGATAATATACTAAATAATGACTAACATAATGCTTGTTAAATAAAAATACAGTACTAAAATTGAGATCACTGAAAGCCAAGAGGGATGGCTCATGCCTGTAACCCCAGTTTTTCTTTACCAAAAACTATAGAAATAATCAATGAATACTTGCTAAAATAACACCTTATAGGAAAACTCCAAAAAATATATGAAGAAATCAATACTAACAGTAGACTCTTACTAATCCTTATATATATATCGTATACTAAAATAAGTAACCTGGAGGCAAATGATAATCTCAGAAAAACTTTCTCAATTGTGTGTGCATGTGTGTGTGTGTGTGAACAACTTAGGTGTTACAGGATTTACTAACTTCTACTTTTTCCAAGTATGATAAGCCTCACCTAACTTTCATACTTTAACTTCCCCAAAATGCAAGACAGCTGCTCAAAGTCATAATCAAACAACCTAATTGTATTACATACTATTATATTGTTAATATATATCATAAAATTAATTCCCAATATATAATAAACTTACCACAAAGCAAAAAAAAAAGCTAATTTTTGCCACTTGAGTTGCAGTCAGTTTCCCCACAGTTTTCAATATGGATTCTTGCTCCTTCACAGTAGGGTATGACATTCGAGATAACTTTGCTTCTAATGCATGACTTGATGGAAGCTGTCGAATCTCCATGATATTACTGAACCTCACACGAGACTTTTTGGGAGCTTAGAAGGAAAACATAATGCAAGAATTATTAAATGTGGATTATTTATTTATTTATTTTTGTCAGTTGTGGGGCCTGAACTCTGGGTCTGAATGCTGTCCCTCAGCTCTTCAGCTCAAAGCTAGCGCTCTACCACTTGAGCCACAGCACCACTTCTGGCTTTTTCTGCTTATGTGGTACTGAGGAATTGAACTCAGAGCCTCATGCATGCAAGGCAAGCACTCTAACATTGAGCCACCTTCCCAGCTCTAACTGTGAATTTTTACTCCTCCATCCAACTCAACTCCCAAGTTTTAATCCACTAATAAACTAATGTTAATTCATTTAAGATCAAAGCAAGAAAGTAGAAGAAAATCAAAGTTAAACTGTTATTGTAGGGTAGCTTTGTTGACTCAAGAGTTCACAGGTAATTTGCGTTATCTATAAAATGCCCTAAATAGTTTAAAATGAGACTAACATTAAAAAAAATCCTGCTATTATGTACATATTTAACTGCCTCGTTCAGGATTTTAGTTAAGATTGGTTTTTAACATTTATAGTAAAATGATGAATTTCTCCTCAGAGATACCCAATTAGTAAGAATCATATTCCCAGACAAGCATGCAGAATATTTCTCTATAGGCTCGTGCCTTGAAGAGGAAATTATTAATAAATGTTATGCTTTACACTGAAGCTGGTATTACTTGGAAAATTCACAGGATCAGCACAATTCATATAATTAAGTTATTAGAGTCTTTGAGGACATGTTCAATATATATATATAAACACATATATAGTTATGTATATATGTATGTGTGTGTGCAAACACATATAATGAAACTGTATGGTTGAGTTAATATAAAAAGTGTATCAGATTTACAATCCAGCCAACCCTCCAGGAGAGTGTAAGCTAAGTCAACTTGATGCTGGTTAAGCCGCACAGTCACTAAGAAGGATGGATGAAGATGATGAACAAAGTAAAAATCTCCACTTCTCATTGCAATGAAATTATAAATTATACTCACTTTTTTCAGTATTTATGCTTGTGCTCTCTGGTTTTTCACTTGGAATATCATGAAATTTCACAGGAACATAGAGAGGTTCACTCTGGAATGCAAACGAAACAGAAATACAACATAAATAAAAGCCAATATATGGATTAGAACCTAAATGCCTGCTATATACACATATGATTCAAAACATAGCTATTCAGCAGCATGTTTATACAGGCTAATAATCCCCAAATGCAGTAAAGACTTAAGAAAATAACCTCACTAATCCACACAGGTACAATAATAGTTTTCAAATCATTTTAAAGGTTAGAAATGTAATAGCTCTGGCAAATAATAATAATAGCTAATATTTTAATGTCAGACAGACTGTCTTCCATCCCTCTTTATTCCTGCATTTAAAAACTACTTATTGAGTGTTAGTTATGTTAGGCTCACATGTGTACTTCCAACTATTAGGGGATCTGTGCTAAATGGATAGTTTGCACAAGGTAGTTTGGGTCCAGATTGGGAAAAACAGCAAAACCTGTTTTCCAAAACAAAAAACAAAAAAAGTAACAAAACAAAATACCACATTCATGAAATACAATCCAGGCAGAGTCCTAGGTACAGTGATTAAGGGCGAATCAAATGAAGTATTTTCCTCAATGACCACGCAGTCAAAGGGGAAGGCAGACAATAGCCTCATAATCAAATTCAATATATATTTCCCAAATTATTACATAGACCTCCACCAAGTAGAAAATAAGAAAACTAAAGCCAGTTTTCTCTAACCATACTATCAAAGGTCCAAATTTTTGGTGATTCCAAACGACTCAATTGGTTTTACAAATGTTCTCCAGATGGTCAATATTAAAACACAATTCCTGAAATAGGTTGTTTCTTAAAAATTAAAGGAATCACTAAAAATTCCTTTGATTTGTCTTTTAATTCCTAGTATAGTACAGTGGCAATGAAAAATGAGCAGCAATGAAAAGACAATGAGATCTGGAAACTGCTGTGGTCTTTTTGTTATATGAAATTTTCATTACAGCATTTGGCCTAGAATAATTTAACATAGCTATCTTACAGATAAAATCAAGAATTATTAGAATAGTCAGAAAAATAGGTTGCCATCTCAATTCTGTCTTCTGCACTGAGATCCAATTAATATTAAGTTATCTTGTCAAGACCAGGCTTGGTGCCATATGCCTATAATCCTAGCACTCAGGGGGCTGAGGAAAGAAGATCTTGTAACCTGGACTACATAGCAAAATTATGTCTGGAAAAACAAATAGAGAAGATATATGACATTTTTTCCAAGCTTTATAAATTCTTCACAGAACCTTCTAATATGCCAAGAACTCAGTGGTAGTTCTAGAGATAAAACACTGTACTTTCGATAAAGTCACCAAAATAGAGGCTCACACAATGGTGTGTGTATATTTTTTTTCTCATTTTTTTTTGTTGTCAGTCATGAGGCTTGAACTCAGGGTATGGGCACTGTCACTGAGCTTTTTGGCTAAAGGCTAATGCTCTACCACTTTTAAGCTAGAGCTCCACTTCTGGATTACTGGTGGTTAACTGGAGATAAGTCTTACAGACTCTCCTGCTTGGGGTGGTTCTGAACCTCTATTTTCAGATCTCAGCCTCCTAAGTGGCTAGGATTACAGGCATGAGTCACCAGCATCAGGCAAAAGTAGAAACCATGTTTTTGTTTTTGTGCCAGTCTTGGGGCTTGAACTCAGGTCCTGAGCACTGTCCTTGAGCTTCATTTGCTCAAGTAGTGCTTTACCACTTGAGCCACAGCTCCACTTCCATAAATTTTAATATCAATTAGAAAACTTTAGTTTTAGTCTTATGTATATATAGATGCTTATTTTGCTTGATACCTCTTGTAGAAACGAATGTCCTTTTTCCAATTAGAAAACTTTAAAAGTACTATAGAATTGCCTTTTTTTCAGAACAGCACATCTGGAAATGAAAGAAGTTTTGTCAAAGATGCATTTTAAAAGCCAGGCTCCAGTGCCTCAGGCCTGTAAACTAGCTACTCAAGAGGCTGAGATAGAAGGATCACAGTTCAAAGCTAGTCCAGGCAGGAAAGTCCATGAGAATCTTATCTCCAATTACCCTCCAGAAAGTTGAACAGCACTATGGCTCAAAGTGGTAGAGCACTAGCCTTGAGCAAAATCTCAGGGACAGCACCCAGACCCTGAGTTCAAGCCCTAGAACCAATTTAAAAAATGCATTTTAAATAGATAACTTAGTGACTGGGCCTAAAAATGGACTTCTATACTCTTAACTACTAATACCTACTTGAAATAAGTATGTTAATCATTCAATTTGCTTGACTATTTTCTCTTCTCCCTCACCAAACACTTGTATTCGAATATACTAGAACATAAGCTGCTATTTCCTGAGCCTAAAACAAGTACTGAACACATACTAGGCACTATAAATACACTGAATAAGTGAATGCACAATCTGCTTATATATTTTTAGAATCAAGTGAAAATATTTTTCAAAAAATAAAAAGAATGAGTATGAAGCTAAAAAGTTATTTAAAAATGGAAATATTGCCCTTTCATTATTATTACTCCTTAACTGGGTTCCTCAGAAGTAGCTTTATTGCTTGCTGCTAGGCTCCAGAGCTCCCCAAGGAAGTACCAAATTATAGTTCTCATGTAAGCTCCCTAAAAGAGTCATGGTGCCATCAAAGCTGTCTTCCAGCTATAGCTGAACAAGAAGTGACTTACCAAAGAACTATTCATAGTTGTATCTGTTGTGCAAGCAGCAAAGTAACCTTCAGCATCTGCAAACTAAATACAAAAAAAAAACAGCCATAAAATTCAAGTTGTTACATAGTATTTAGACACAGCTCAAATAACTGATCCAAAAATTCAAGATAAACTTCTAAGAGCACAGCACCTAATGCCAAACAAGTATTCAAAATGAAAAGTAGGTGTCATATCTTGTTTTTATTGATGAAGAAGTCGAGGCTAAAAGATTTCATCAAAGTAGCAGAGGCAGGATTAAAATCCAAATGAATCATTTAAAACTAAGCCTTATTCCTTTCACATAGTACTACACTGATATCTCAGATGGGTGAGAGATTAAATTTGTAACTCAGTATTGTCATGACAATAGTTTTAACCTTAAGAACCCCTGAATGGATCTCAGGGACTGGACCATATTTTGAGAACCAAATGCCACATTAAGTATGATTTCACTTCATACCCATAGCTTTCACTATTCTCTCTGATGAAAGTCCAAAGAGGCAAGCAGAAAAGGTCAAAAGCTATGTACATATGACCCGATAAGATGATGTTAAGTGAAATGAGTCCCAAGATAGAGACACAAGTGGGTTTTTCTTTCTTGCTATTATTTCTAATGTATTTTTAACTTTTTTTTTTTTTTGGTCGGTTGTGGGACTTGAACTCTGGGCCTGGACACTGTCCCTGCGCTCTTCAGCTCAAGGCGAGCACTCTACCACTTGAGCTACAGCGCCACTTCCGGTTTTCTAGTGGTTCATTGGAGAGAAGAGTCTCACAGAGTTTCCTGCCCAGGCTGGCTTTGAACCACGATCCTCAGATCTCAGCCTCCTGAGTAGCTAGGATTACAGGCGTGAGCCACCGGCACCCGGCATTTCTAATGTATTTATGATGTACTATGTGATTTTTTTTTGTTCCTTTGTATGTTCCTCCCCCCATAGTATAACCCGTTTTCACTGTATTTGATGTTGGTATAATTTGGGGAAGGGAAAAAACAAAATGCTTAAATAGGGATACAGGTTGACCCAATGAATCAATGAGATGTACAAGACACTATGTTGAAAAACAGACTTTACAATTTAGGTATGGGGTGGGGGAGTGTAGTTGTGGAGGTGGGAGGGAAGGGATGGTAGGGGAAAAACAAAGGAGGAGGCAACAATGCTTGATAGGAAATGTACTCATTGCCTTGCTCATGTAACTGCAGCCCCTCTGTGCAGTATTTTTACAATAAAAAACTTATTAAAAAAAAAAAAAGAAAGTCCAAAAAGGTTAAATAACTGGCACAAAAAGTCGCAGTACTGGAAAATGAAGAACATGATTCAAACACAAGAGTTTGACATAATGAACTGATGACAAGTTGGGATTTTGGTAAGAGTTCAACCTCATCTTCTGCTGAGTTAGGAACTATTGCAACCACTCTAGATGGGAATTTAGAAGAATCAAAACCTTTAAAACCAGCATTACTCTTACCCAGCATTATGCTCTCAGAAACATAGTAACTGTAGATTAGTATAAATATACCTGTTTATAGAAAAAAGTAGAAACAATCTTTCGAGTGTTAGATGAAAGAAGAAATGATAATGTACTATTTTGAATTTACCTAGAAAGGTATCTTTCCAATCTTTTAATGTCCAGAGACTGTTGGCATTGTTTTTACTTATTTTCATCCTCATCTCCATGCAATTGATTTGGGCTACTTTAACAACTGTTAACAGTTCAAAGGGGTAGAATAAAGGAAAGAAAATACATGCTTTTGATTCGTCACAAGCTATTCTGATAAGCTGATTAGAATATTGTAGTTTTGATTCTACCATCACTCTTTTAAAGGACAGCTTAAAATCTGAATGTTCTTAAAAAATTACTATATCTTAATTGTGAGTATGCCCTTCCCCAACAAAGAAAGTTAGAAACTTACAAAAGCAGCATGTTTTCCTCGAAATCCTCTTGTACATTGTTGCCTCCATGGCTTCCAAATAATAAAGCCCAACAGGTACAGAACAAACATTGAGGTTTTTGCAAAGGTACTGAAGAATGGTTTGTTGTACTGTGTAAAGACATACTGTGGATGAAAAGGTTACAGATAGCTATGAGATGACTTTAAACGTCATTACTCATCATAAAATAAGTTCATTTAGATGGAAAAAGTAAAAAGAAATTATAATAATCTTCTTGATTCATTTCTGAATACCCTATTTGCCTCACAAATAAATGATAATAATGCCATACAAATAGCAACAACATTTTTAAAAAGTTTGGTTCACAGGAAAACTGCTATGTGCTAAGGACTACCGTAAATTAAGACAGGCTCTTCTGCCCTGAAGAACGAAGTAATAGAGGAGATATTCAGATGAAGAAAACCCATAAAGTACCACAATAAGGGTTCAAAGTGCCATGGAAGCACTCTGAATTGCAGAAAAGACCAAACAGAGGGCAGGGAAGTTTCCTGAAAGGCTACTCTTGAGCTGGGTATGCAGAGACAAAGAACAATCATCTAAAACAGAGAAAACAGTACAAAGAAAAGCAATGACGTTGAATAGCATATAAAGAAAATTCCATTAAGTTTAATGTTATTTGGATGTTATATAAAAACCTACAGATTCCATTTAAAATGGAAACATTAGTGTGGGCCTTCTTTTTGTCTCCTAGAAAATAATAATTCTATGCATTGAGGAAGCTTAGGAAAGATGGTAACTAAAGGACCCAAATGGTAGTCTGCACTATTTTGCACTAAAAGAAATCATGGCTCCAGGAGGCAAAGGCCAAATCCAGGAATAGGGCAAACATTACAAGATAAGCCTGAAGCATCTTGTGTCAGAAAGCAAAGAGACATTCAAGGCTAGGATCACACTAAAAAGATCCCACAAGCAACCTGAAGGGACTCTCACTACTCAAAGATAGGACAATTCAGGCTTTAGAACAAACATTAAAAACACATATTAAACATATAAAAATATAAAATAATGTTAAAAATACTCTCAATGGCTAAAACTGGAAGTTGCTAGGCAATCCTACTCTAAAAGTAACAATGGAAGAAAATTAAAATATAGCCAATTGTTAGTATATAAACTGTTTCAGAAGTAGTAAATCATAGTTGTGGAAAAGTTCTCCTTAAAGGATAGACTTAGGACTGAAGTGGCAAAACACTTGCCTGACAAGCACAAAACCCTCAGTTCACACCCCAGTATGGAGGTTTGAAAAATCACCTATAATCATATGAGTATTCAACTTTTATCTAAAATTTGATGAAGAATATTTCAAGTTTTTTTTAAATTTGTATACATGAGTTCTGCGAGAGGAGTTTCATCATGACAAGGAATTTTATAGTACTTAAATTTGCATCACCCAAAACACAATTTTAGGCATTACAGGCTCATACTCTGATGGCACAGAAAGTACCCAGTACTGCTTAAACATTCAACTAATTCTACACTTAACATCTAACCACCCTTTTATAGGAAGTAAGACAATGACTTCAATGACATCCAAAGAAGCAATCAGCAAAATCAAGGTTCTGTGATATGTCTTAAAGGGAAAATGACCTAGTTTCTCCAACAAACCAACAGCATGAAAAAGAAGGCAGGGAGATAAACCTAAGAAATAACAGTGATTTAAGTAACAAGAGGAGGAGAGGTTGTCCTTGACATAAATGGGAAAATCTGAATATGAAGTGGATATCAAGTGATTTTTAAGGAATGAAGAGTTTATTTTTTAGATACGTTAATGGGTACTGATTTAGGTTTAAAAAACTAAAGAGTTATTTTCTGTTTGATGTTAATAGGAAAGAAATTATGTAGAGCTTGCTTTAAAATATCCTAGGAAGAAGTTGTGAGCCAGGATAAGACTAGAAAAACTAGTAACTGATAAAGTGATAGGAAAATAAAGATTATGCTATTTTAAGAAATTACTATCTTGTATCCATTAGAGAATATCTACATAAAAAGGTGATTTTTTTTCTTTTTCAAATACACAAATTCATCTCAAAGGTTTAGAGAATTTATCTGGCTGAAAAATCAAACATATTACATATTATCTTAGATAACAGAAACATAGTTACAAAATTATTCTCTTACTAAAATACTTGATATTTTTAAATAGGTTATTTTTTTTCCAGCTTTACCATGGTACAACAGAAAATTGTAGCTAAAATAAAAACTATATATTTATAATAAAGTGTTTTGACAGGTGTATACATTAGGAAATGATTGCTATAAACCAGTTGGTTGGGTTTTTCTTTTAACCTTTGGACCGGAGTGTTAAGTACCAGTTTCATTAGAGGCTCTTTTGTCAATAATTCTATTACCTGTTAAGTAAAGCAATTTACTTAAAATTATAACTCTTAAAAGCTAGATTTAGTACTGTGGATGTTAAGTAATTTATATTGAATAAAATTATAGAATGTTAATCTAAACAACTATAGAAAAGTTTTAAAGTAAAAAACAAATATTGTTGTATTCCAAACCCTAATTCCAGAAAGGCCAAAAACTGTTCTTTCATGCTATGATGTCAGTGTCAGCTCTTGGCTATGATGTGAGAAGGTCAGTGCTACTAAACTGCCTCTTTTGACATTTAGACCTCTTTTATCAACACTAGTCTCCTTCTGTAACATGGAGTGGAAATGAAGCTAATTCCGAAGAGTTGCCTTTTCATAAGGACCATTTACACCAAGCAGGATTAGCATTAAGTATACAAATAGAAGGAAAAACTATCTCATGAACTCACCTTGCCACCTTACTATCAATGTGTCATCAGTAAACACAAAACTGAAGCCAATCATTATACAGTCTGTATTTTATGTTTGAGTCAGCAAACACAAATGTAGATATATTCACACATGTGCATAACAGTGACCTATGCAGGAAAACATCATTTTTATTCATTTCTCCAAAAGCATTCTATTTTATTGTAGCTTCTTGCACGCTAGCCAAGTGCTCTCCTCACTGGGCCACACTCCCAGCCTTAAAATATTCTTACTTTCTACTAAATGCTGAAAGACTATCTTGTTTCTAAATGGCTGTTTGTGGAAAAAAATAACATTTATCAAGAAAGAAACTAAATTTAAAAAAAAATAGAAGAAATCAGGAATATTCTCCTTCAAAGTAATCCTCCTTATAAGATATAAGAACACTGTAGGAATCGTTTTAACTTGAGAGGAAACCAGTATCAAAGGCTACTATATATTTTACCAGTATTTAGTTTTTAGTAAGTAAGAGATAGTTATAGTGAGGAATACAATTGGCTAACACCAATACTATTACTATAATGTAACATTACTCCTAGGGAGAAAGTACTCACAGAAGTAAGTTCTGAAGAGGCCACCCAGATCACATCTACAAGCAGGAGAATAACAATGCCAAGAGCCATTCTCCGGCGTTGTGTGAATCCACTGTTCTGGGAATTCATTCGGTTCATGATAAATACACACACCATTTGTAGTCTGTTGTTTTTCCAAGAAAACAGAAATTTTTATTAGAGATTATTTTAGCAAAGGAGTATAAGTCATCTGATATTTGTTAATGTGAAATATTAAAGAACACACTGGAATTTACCTTGTTTTAAGGGCCTCTTTGAGATCTTCCAAAACAATGCCTGAATGGAAAAAAAAAAAACACATATACACACACTCATACACAAAATGAAGCTTATGAAAACATCAACAGCTCCAGATTAATTGCATCCTTATTATTTTTTTTTTTTTTACTTTTTACCTTCAAACTGAAAGCAACGTAAAACTGTGCTCGATATATAACATCAACCCTTTCGTCTAGATTTTCGTGTGATCCATTATCCGTTTCAGATTATACTCAAGAGGTGTAAGTACTGGGAGAAAAGGCAACACTCCACGTATGGTGTATTGCTGGGGAAACACAAAACTCCGGTGGCTTCTCCCTCCTCCGGGGGAACGCACTCTGGGGACAGGCAGTGTCTAGACTCGAGCTGGCATCTGAGAGCGTCCTCGATCTCGGGAGGGCGGGGGGGGGGGGGGGGGGGGGCGGGGAGGAGAGTTAGTCATTTGAGAGGTGATTCTGGAGGGCACCCCTTTCCGCAAGCTTCACGTGTTAAAGGAGAAGGATCGGGCCCCCCTACCCCTGTCAAGGCATCCTGTTATCTTAGATGGAAACAGAAACTCTCTTAAAGATGGTTTCGAAAACAGCTGTTAAAAGCCATCTTCCTCCTTTTGGGAGGGGAAAAAAAAAAAAAAGAAAGTTGAGCTGGTGACAGCTCCCCGGTGGAGCCAGGCGAACCCCGGGGGGGGGGGGGGGCGTCTCCCGGCCCGGGCGAGGCGGCTCTGAACCCCCCCCACCCCCGCGGGGCCCAGCGCTTGGGATGCCTTCGGGACGGCCGCCCGGGCGCCCGGGAGCCCCGGAAGCCAGCCGGGGCTGGAGGTGGGGCCGCCGGCGGGCGCTCGGCTCCGGCGTGGGCTCCGGGTGACTCCAAGGCCCTTCCAGGACAGCCGGCCTGCCTACCTGGCCTTCGTGCCCCGCGATGGCGTCGTGGCGGCACCATGAGCGGCTCCGGCCCGGCCCCGCCGCCGCCCCGCGCGCCGCGGCCGCCGCCTCGGACTCACTGAGCCGTCACGGCGCCCGACATGACGCTGCGCCAGGCGCTGAGCCTCGCAAGCCGCGGTGCCCCTCTCACTCCGCTCGGCCCGGGAGGGCGGGGAGTGAGTGAGCCACTGCCGGGGACAGCGCGGGCAGCGATGGCCGCGGACCCGGAGCTCGGCCCTGCCACCGGCCCCGCCCCCGGCCGGTCAGCCAGCCCGCCCCGCTACCCCGCCTCCCTGGCCGGCAGCCGGCGGCGCGCTGGTGACGACACGCCGGCGCGACGGCGGGCCGTGGAGGCGGGGTCACGTCTCCAGGGTGACGGCATCCGGGGGGCCGTGGAGGCCAGGCCTGGCCTGGCGGTGGGCAGACTGGGCGCCTGTGGGTCACAGCTGTCATCCGAACGACTCGGGAGGCTTAGGGAGGAGCGTGGTTCGAAGCCAGCCCAGGCAGACCCCGAGAGACTCTAATCTCCAGTGAGCCACTCAAAAGCCGGAAGTGGCGCTGTGGCTCCAGTGGTAGAGCGCTCGCCTGCAGCTGCAGAGCGCAGGGTCAGCGCCCCCAGGCCCAGAGTTCGAGCCCCACGAACCGACCAAAAGAAAAAAAAGGTCCGTCCGCGGGTGCCCTACATGGCAGACTTGGCCGGTCAAGTGCTCCTGGGCTCCGGTCTCACCAGCCTGTCCCAGCCGTTCACGGACGGTGCAAGTGCTCATCCAGGTGGGGTATGAGCCTCTTCCTCCAACAGTGGGACCACATAGTTTGGGGCGGCAAGGCTGTCCTGGTCTCTTGTTATGCTCAGCACCTTGCCAGCATCGACGGGAAGCGTGGCTCGTTCACAGGCTTCACTCCCAAGACTGTGTTCAGGAGTCCTTGGAACGGTGGTCCGTAGCCAAGTTGTGCAGCGCTCTGGGGACCTGGACAACCTGAGGAGTCAGGAATCGGAAGTCAACCATTTATGGGAAGAGGGCCTCCTGGGATGTTTTGCGGGTCTCATTCCTCGCCTCCTAGGTGACATTATTTCTCTCTGGCTCTGTGACTCCCTGGCCTACCTCGTCAACACCTATGCACTCGACAGTGGGGTTTCTACCATGAACGAAATGAAAAGTTATTCCCGAACCGTCACCGGATTCTTTGCCAGTATGTTGACCTATCCTTTTGTGCTTGTATCTAATCTAATCTTGCTGGTGGATTCCCTCCTTACTCCCCACTATATACCTCTTGGATAGATTGCTGGTACATGCTGCAAAACAGAGGGAAATAGGAGCTGAGGAAATAGCTCGTTTTTCCTGGAAGGTTCCCTGTGGGAAGACGTATTGTTACGACCTGAGAATGTTAATTTGAAGATGTGGGGCAGGGACAATGACGTTTCTATAGTCCCAGATGCACAGAATTATGGGACAGAATGTTAATTTTTATACAGTGTGGCGTGCTTTTTAAATAATCATTTAATCTTGGGAAAATGAAAAGAAACCTAGCTTAACTCTTACATGAGCATTTTTTCCCTGAGTACTCTGAAGGAAAAGTCTACTAGAGTGCTCTGTAAGAACAGCCTGGCTGATATGCGAATGTTAAAATTAAACTGCAATGAGATATGACAAAATAAAACAGGACTCAAGTTACCATACACAGTAAGACCAAAAGAGGATAGTCTCAGGAGAAAAACACCAAATTGCAATACCCAAGCACCCCTTCATTTATATATAAAATAATAGGCATACTAAAAAGAACACTGAAGATAAGGAAACAACCCCATCTTAATTTGTCCTATTGTTTTTTGATGGCTCTGTATTCCTTACCTCATATATGGTGTATACACATGCACATATTAGGGAAGGTGGGAGCAAAGTACAGAATCAGTGGAAAGCTGGTGAAAAAATACTTCAGAGGGGCCCATCAGCTGCACTGGACATTGATGAAAGTAAACTAAGCAACTCAGGGTGGTGATGGGAGGGAGAGAATGAGAGAGAAAGAGGGAACAGCTGACACTAAGCCAAAGGAAAGAAATGTACATATCACCCAATTTGCAAAAACTGGTTTTATTGTTAAAGATCATACAGTTCATAAGCAATGTAGATTAAGATAATGATGACTGTCACTGTGCAGATTAAAAGGTATTTGTGACTTTAAATTTTAAAAAAATTAAAGAAGAGCCTGGCATAGTTTCTGTCCTCTAGCACCTCCTGACCATCTCAGTTACTCCTTTCCCTACCACCCCTGCATATATATATACCTTTCCAAGGCCAAATCCTCAGGTACTTCAGTGTCTGTCTTGGAAAATTGCTGTCTGATCTGCTAGTATCAGTTCTGAATGTCATTTTTTGTTTTATTTTTATCAAGAGAGAGATAAAACAAAGGGCCTTGCACATATTAAGAAAGCATACTACTATCTGGCTACAAGTTACCTTAACCTCCTGGTCTCAAGTGATTCTTCTGCTTTAACATGAGTACCTGAGACTAAAGGCCAATGCCAACTTCCACTTTTACCTCCATGTCAATAAGTCTTAGTAACATGTTTTATTTTTTAACTTTTTCCCACCCACCAAATGCCAGCTATATATTTTCTAATACTCCATATAATTGAAGATTTTTGCTTGGCTTTCACTGTATGTATATGTATATCCACAGTAGGGCAGTGCTTATTACAGGGTTGTCAGTCAATATTTGTTAGATAAACTTGAACATCCTGCTGTCTCTTGACCTTTCAATATACCTAATTCCTTTCCCATTTCTGTAGGGGGTAGTTTTCAGACATGGCAGTTTATTTTTGCTGATTTCACTTCTCTTCAAAGTTAGTCGTCTTTTTGAAATCTATTATAAAAGTTGTAAAATCTCTCAAGTTTTATCAGGTATGTGTTGGGTCTTCGTCCGTCCCACAAAAGACCGACGGGGTCCGAGGAAAGGTAAGTGCGGCGCTCGCCCCGTTCCCCAGCCTCCCTCAGCCCAGGAGACAATCAGACACAGCGGGGAGCCAAATCCAGCAGGTAGAAAAAACTCGTTTATTAACAGAGAGCAGCCCCTTTTAAAGACAACAAGGGTGGGTGGCATGATAAGGGAGGAAGAGGAACCAATCACTGTCAAGGTCACACCCTATCATTCACCTGAGCCTTCACGGGCTGGTTAGGCACTGATCAGAAGATCAATTGGGGTCTGCCCACTCAACCCCCTCCCAGCGCCATCTTTGCTGCCCATATGCTCCACAGGTATGAACTCTAACACCTATGCAGTCTAAACACTCTAATTTCACTCAAAAATACATATGTTTCCATATGGATGTAAAAGCAAAGCTTTTAGTGTGTCTACAGGGCAATCACTATGTAACTCTCCATCTAAGCCCTAGCAAATCAACTAATTATGAGTCTTTGGAGATTTTTAGTAATGGAAACAACCTACAATAATTCTGTATATGCCAAATAAGGAAATAAATGAACACCCAAATATGAAGAAAGATATTTATAGTCAATCTCTATGTCCATGGGTTCCATATTTATGGAGTCAAACATCTGAAGATTGAAAATATTCAAGAAGAACATCAAATATGTACTGAACATAACAAAGATTTTTCTTCTATTACCTAAATAATACAGTGTCCAGCTGTTTAATAGCATTTACTTTATGCTAGGTACTATAATTTACAGATAATTTATAGTGTATGAGAGGATATATATAAGTTAATACAGATGATGTAAGGTATGTGGTCATCAAATTTTGGTATCCAATGGAGGTGAGATATGAGAACCAATGCCCCAGGAATACCAAGGAATATGTGTATTCACAGCTTGCTCTAGTAAGCCCAACAGCCACCATCACTTGTATTTGACTCAAAGGCAAGCAGAGAAGAGTAAAAGTTTTATAGTGGAGTAAGATAAAAGATTGAGGTATGCTTTCCAGGTATGTCTGTGACTAGAGGTTATTAGCATGGCTAAACTGGTGGCAAGCTAACTGGAAGCAAAGCATTCTGAGTGGTTGGCTACGGGGTATATATTTGGTTTTTCCAAATTGCAGTTATTGGTCTAGTCCTATTGTTCTGTGTTGATATCTGTAAATATTGTGGTTACCTTTTTGGTCTGATTCATTTAGAGGCTGTAGTAAGAGTTCTATTTTTGCATATGTTCTATTTTGCATATGGACATTGACTGTTTTTATAATTATTCTCTAACATATGTCTATTTTATATATATTCTCTGCAATACCTACTAAGATGTTATACACATGATTTGTTGGACAAATATTTGTTGATTTTATTTGCTTCTAAAACATGGTTAAATAGATCAAGTTAATATATATATCAAAGATTTCTCTTGAATTTGAACCTTACTGCATTTTATTGGGTAGGTCGTATACTATAGGACAAATCATAAACTTGGGAGATTCTGAGATAGCTAAGATACTAAGACTTATTGGGCGTAATCATATCCTGGGTTTCACGGTGTTTATGGGCAAGTTGGAGTAGCAACATATCAACAGGTTTAAATGAAATTTCCAGGAAAAGTTCCAAACATCTATAGAATAAGCATCTCTAAGCAGTGCAAGATTGACCCCATCATTTCCATGTTTTGGCTATGAATCAGAATTGTCATGACTCAGTTTCTTTTTGCATATATAGATAGGGAAGATTTCAGAAAAGAAGTAGAAAATGAGCTTGATGTTTTGATGTGGTGGGGCCTCATACATGCTAGACAAGAACTTTACCACCAACTACACCCCTAGCTCTCAGCCTGATTTTAATGATGGGTCAGATCTTAATAAGGGAGGAAAGGACTTTTCACTAAGCAAGTTTATAAGTATGGCCAAGAAAAACAGGTGTGTCCAGATTTATGGGATAAAACTGGTTTGGCAGAGCATAGTATGAGAAGTGAAGCAATGGGGAATAAGACAAGTCAAGTGAGTTCTGATGATTTAAATATGCTCTAGAAACTAGGGAAGAGAGGCTGGCCTTTTAGTATTTATGTGATGAGACAAATGCTGTACCACTGAGCTACATCCACAGCTGGGAGAAACACTTAGCAAACCTGATATTATTTGGTATCTATTCCATGTCTGCCAATGTGGTTATATTGTCAGAGAACCCACAGGGCCTTCCTTCTGGGAAATAATTTTATAAACAAAAATGAGTAATTAGAGAAAACATTTACTAAGCTAGAAGATGCTGAATCTACATGCATTTCTTTAGTATTTTGTTAGTGGAGTACTGTGTAGTATGCTGGAGACCAAATACATGCTTGTTTTGAAAATGTTCGAGCTTGAGTGTCACTTTCTTTTCTGTCTTACTTTGATGGCATAATTTAGAGGGAATTGGATATGAACGTAAAAGGCCCATCTGATTGGCTCTTGAGCAATTTAAAATAGTATTGTGCATTGTCAACCTGTGCCTTAAGTCATTTGGCCAGACCTCTGCCATTTGAGTGGCCCATGCCAGTAAACTAGAGCACAATAACAAGGAGCTCCCATTTCTCAACATACCCTAACCTCCTCCTCCCCTCATTTCCATGTACTCAGATCCTGATATCACCCAGTATAACCCTGGCTCTCTCCTCATTGGATCAACACCTGACCTTGTCTATGCTTTAAGTCACTAAGAAGAACCCACCTTGAGTCTGAAAGTCTCTGGAACCACTTCTCAGCTCATGTGGCTGTATAGTCTGGATTGCCTCTTACCCCAAAAGAGAAAATTTAAAGGTTAAAAAAAATAGACTAGCAATGGTATGTGTTACAGGTTGTTATACATGACTCTGTGGTCTCTCACTTTGAGTAGAGGCCCTCAAAACAAAACAAAACAAAAAAAAATAGGCAACAAAAGCAGTCGCAGTCTAAGATGAGGTACTATAATATTAATATGGAACTTACAAGTGGGTGGTCCAACCCAATTTTCCCATCACATTCATACCTAGGCTATCTGTGTAAGTGAAGAATCCATCTAGAGAGTTGAAAAGACTGGAGTATATCAATTTTGTAAAGAATCATCTTAATCCAAATAGCCAATCACATCCCAATAGGGGTTCAAGAAGGTATGCACACCCACCCCCTTCTCAAGCCAACCAAGGACAAAGGTGGGTACCCAAAAGAGTGTTCAGAATTATCAACAGCAACAGCAGCATTATCACCTTTGCCTAGATGCCTGCTTCCATTTTTCTTTAGCAATGCCTTAATAAATCTGTGTTTCTCCTGTCTCGGTAAATTCTTTTATTAATGTGGGATTCACAAAGTTCTGACAAAATAGTCTCTTGGTTGGGAGGACTTGAAGGAATTCCTTCTTTTCTATATGAGGATCTTTGCTGGTACTGCCCCCAAGCTTGGAAGTAACTGTGGGTTTCTGGCCAGAGCTCCTCTTGGGTGTCTAAAACCTATCACTTCAGGTGTAAAGTACAGGAGACTTACAGTGACTCTTGCGCTGAAAATTTTACTTCCCCTAAAATTTGTGGGTCTTTGACCAGTGCAACTATCTGGTAAAACCCAAAGATTGTGGGAAAGGGTTTCTATCCACCTGCAGTCACAAGAGTAAAAAGCCTGTTTGTCCTCTCAACGGTAAGCCTCCACTTCCAACACATGTGGATACTCTACCTCTCTCCTCACATTTTTACTTTCAAATTCTCTTACCAGCTCTTTGAACATTATCTCTAGCCAACAGGATTGTTTCTGCCAAGTGGACAGAGCTTCAGTACAAGTTGCCATAAAGTTACAGATGATGTTATAACATGTTTTATGTTTTTTGTTTTTGTTTTTGTCGGTCGTGGGGCTTGAACTCTGGGCTTGGGCGCTGTCCAAGTGCTTTTCAGCTCAAGGCCAGCACTCTACCGCTTGAGCCACAGCCCCACTTCCGATTTTCTAGTGGTTTATTCGAGGTAAGATTCTCACATACTTTCCTGCCCCGGCTGGCTTTGAACCGCAATCCTCAGATCTCAGCCTCCTGAGTAGATAGGA